GATCGAGACCATCCTAGCTAACACGGTAAAACCCCATCTCTACTAAAAATACAAAAAAATTAGCCAGGCGTGGTGGTGGGTGCCTGTGGTCCCAGTTACTTGGGAGGCTGAGGCAGGAGAATGGCGTGGACCCGGGAGGCGGAGCTTGCAGTGAGCTGAGATGGTGCCACTGCATTCCAGCCTGGGCGACAGAGCGAGACTCTGTCTCAAAAAAAAAAAAAAAAAAAAAAAGAAGAAGAAGAAGAACTAACACTTGAGGAAGAAGGGAAGGAAAAGTGAGGGCTGCATGAATCAATTTGTTATCTATTACAGAAAAAATATCTGTACATAATGTATAATTTTGATACATCCAAAAGAAAATCATTATTTAGGGATGTCAAGGCAAGTAAGATAAGAAATAGCTAAGAGTGTTAATAGACAACCGGGCACGGTGGCTCATGCCTGTAATCCCAACACTTTGGGAGGCCGAGGCTGGCGGATCACGAGGTCAGGAGTTCAAGACCATCCTGGCCAACATGGTGAAACCCCGTCTCTACTAAAAATGTAAAAATTAGCTGGGCATGTTGCTGCATGCCTGTAATCCCAGCTACTCGGTAGGCTGAGGCACAAGAATTGCTTGAACCCAGGAGGCAGAGGTTGCAGTGAGCCAAGATTGTGCCATTGCACTCCAGCCTGGTAACAGAGTGAGACTCCGTCTCAAAAAACAAAAACAAAAACAAGAATGTTAATAGATTTTCCAATAAGGAACAGGATTTGAGGTGGAACAGGCTACATTATTTTTATTATAGTCCCTTGTGTACCATTTGATTTTTTTCTTTTTTCTTTTTTAAACCATGAGCCTATATTGATTTGACTAGGAAATATATTTTCATTTAAAATAAAATAGAGAAGTCCCCCCCCCGTTGCTAATTCATATAATTTAATAGTTCTCAACCAGGGGAGATTTTGTTCCCCAAGGGACATTGAGCAACGTTTGGAGACATTTTTGGTTGTCCCCAAATGCTATTTTTAGGGTGCTATTTGGAGGTGCTATTGGCATCTAGTGGATAGAGGCGAGGAGTACTGCTCAACGTTCCACAATGCACAGGACAGCCTCCACCACACAAAATTATCCATCCCAAATGTCGAGAATGTTGAGGTTGGGAAACCCTGGCTTTAAAAAATTATCTTCATAGTCATTCTTACCAGTGCAGTTATATCAGCACAGGCTCTGGAATTTGATGTTCTGACCAATTTCCTCCAATACAACTGACCTCCCAACCTCAGTTTTCACATTTTTAAAGTGGGGGCTGCTAAGAGAACCCACTTCTTTTGAAGATGGATACCAATGCCCTCAGGCTCCTTGGAGTCTGTAATATTAAATGTCCAGTTTATTTATTTTTTATTTTTATTTTTTTTGAGACAGAGTTTTACTCTTGTTGCTCAGGCTGGAGTGTAAGGGTTCGATCTCAGCTCACCGCAACCTCCAACCCCCCTCCGCCTTGGTTCAAGCGATTCTCCTGCCTCAGCCTCCCAAGTAGCTGGGATTACAGGCGTGCACCACCTTTCCCGGCTAATTTTGTACTTTTAGTAGAGGCGGGGTTTCACCATGTTGGTCAGGCTGGTCTTGAACTCCCAACCTCAGGTGATCCACCCGCCTCGGCCTCCCAAAGTGCTGGGATTACAGGCATGAGCCACTGCACCTGGCCTAAATGTCCAGTTTATATTGGTTATCACCATTGTTTGCTGATGTATCTCCCCCTCCCACTCTCCAGCAAAAGAGCAGAAAATAAACAACTTTCCTCAAACGAATTTCATTCCAGGCCTCTTCCCTTGGGGGCTGTTTCTTTGCTTCTAAACCAGGAGTGTTGGAATGCATGTCTAAACTTTCTCCCATGGGCGGGGTGAGAATTAAGTGAAATGACCTAAAGAAATTTCAGTAGGAGTGTGAGATGCTGGGTACTGAAAGATATCACCCCTCCAAAGATATCACCCCTCCAGCAGGAGCAAACACTAGGTAAATAGATGTAGGGAATTTTTGTTTCTGCCAGCCCAGGAGGGTGCCGTAAAGGTGTGTTGGGTTACATGACTATGAATTTCACCTATTGTTGGCTGCCCTCCTCCCCCATAACCCTCTATTGTCTCAGAGCCTCAGGTTACTCATGGATCATATAGGAACATTGGTGTCCACACTGCAAAGATTCTGTAGGAATTCTGTAAGACAGTGAAGCTTGCCAACAGCCTCCAATCAGCCATGGGGCTAGTTCTTAGTTTCTGATAACATTTGTATGAAGATCGGTTCTTGAGTAAACGGCTTGCCTAGAGCCACATACAAGCCCACTTCCCTTCCGCGGTCATACTTGATTGGAGGCAGCTTCTGTGCCCTTTATAACCAAGAGCAACTGAGTTTAGAGGAGAAGAAGTGTTTTGTCCAAGGTCACACGATGCCTAGGGGGCATCCGTGAAATGTGGACCCAAGACCAAACTTTCAGACTCTCATCTCAGACTCTCCACCTCCAATTGTTCCACTCCCCCAACCTACTAGCTAGTTCTAGAACGGACAGATCCATGCTTCTCAAAACTGTTGCATAGACCCCTACCCAGTCCCAGACGGGTTTCTTTAAGACATATTTGCACCCAAGCTTCTCGCATTCTACTCTCCTTCCCAGCCCCAGCCCCATCTCGGGGGCATCTGACTTCACCCCTTCTTCCCCATCAGGTTTGAACTAGGGGAGGGGAGGGGGATGAGAAGAGAAAAGAAAAAAAAATTGTTGGTGAAAGTCAAAAGGCTTGTTAACGTTGTAAGTTTAATATTGTTTTATTTGGGGTGGTGGCGGGGAATCTTTGCCCTTGCCACTTGGAGACGAGCGGTGGGAAGACCCCGGGAAGTTGTGCTTTCCCTTGGATTTTGGGAAAGGGGAGCATTCCTGGGGTCCTTTTGAAAAGGCCCTCCCCTCATTTCCGGCCGCCGCTGCCAGCCTTGGCTGGGCGCCTGGATCCTGTTGCTATGACGACAGGAAGAGGCGGTGGCGGCGGCAAGCGATGCTGAAGAGAGATGGAGGCTAGTGGGGGTGGGGGTGGTGGCATTGGAATGGGGGAGGGGGCAGGGATCCGGGGCTGGGGACGCGGGAGGGGGCGGGGGCAGGGGTATCCTTCATCTCTGACCTCCTCGGGGCATCTCAGCCTGACCCCTCTTCCGTTATTTTTTCCGGGCTTCCTTCGGGTGCCTCCCCAGTCCCTGTGTCTGCCTCTGTTTCTCTGGGTCTCTCTCTCTTCCTGTCTCAGTCCCTCTCCGGCTGTCTCTCTCTGGGTCTCCCTCTTCTTTTCCTGCACCTGCCTTTCTTTCCCCAGGTACCTTCTGCCATCCAGGCCTTTCTACCCTCAATTTCTTTCATTTACTATCTTGCTCCCCCGCTCCCTCTCCGCACCTTCTTCTCTCTTTAAAGCTTCCTTCTCTCTAGCAAGACCTTGCCCCTATCCCCAATTTCTCTCCCTCCCCGCTCTCCATTTCGTTCCCTCTCCCCCCCCCCCCCCCGCTCTCCCCCATCCTCTCGGTCTCTCTCTTTCTGTCTGTCTCTCCCCATCTGTCCCTCCTCCCTCCTCTCTGGATGACTCTCTCCCTCTCTCTTCTTTCCTTCTGTTTCCCAGATCCTGACCCCCCCACCCACCAACTTACCCCAGCCCTCCCCCAGCCCCTCCCCCCAGCCCCTGGGTTTCTCTCTCTGGGTCTCTGTCCCTGTCCCCTTCTCTCTCTGGATATTTCTCTGTGTGTATCTCTCCAACTTCCTTCGGCGCCCAGCCGCTGCCTCCCCCAAATTTCTCCCTCCCCCATTTCTGTTTCGCGGTCTCTGTCTCTCTCTTTCTGTTTCTCCTCGTCTCTCTCTGTCTCTCTCCCTCCCTCTCTGGATCTCTCTCTTCTTCTCCGGCTTCCTTCTGCCGCTCGACCCTGCCCCCCCTCTTTCCCTTCCCCCATCCATCTCCTCTCCGAGGCTCCCCATCCCTCAGCATCTCCCCTCCCCCTCCCTCCCTACTCCCTCCCTCTCGTCCTCCAGCTCCGCACTTTACCCAGCGACACGAGAACCAAATTGTCTCCTCACCTTTTTTTTTTTTTTTAAATATATATATATATATATATCCCGACCCTCACTCCCTTGGGGCCCAGGCTCAGAGCTGCCCCTCAGCCCCAGCCTGGCCTCAGCACCCCCATTCCCCGTACGCCTCCTCATCTCCACCCCCCCCAACCAGGTCGGACGCCTGGGTCCCTCACTGCTGGGGGAGGGGGAAGCAGCGAGAATTGGGAGCCAAAAGGTTTTTCTGGGGGGGGTGCCAACAGAGGGGGCTCGACGTCCCCTCCTCCGTGCATCGGAGAGTTGACCTGTCGTTAACAGAGGTGAGACAGATCTTTTTATTAATCGGAGGTGGGTGGAGGTAGAATTAATGTTCTGTGACCCCCCCCCCCCACGAATTCTGGAGAAAAGAGCTGGTCCCCTTCCTAAGAAGAAAGGACAGTGACCCCCTCATACCCGGAAGCTTTAGAATTGGGGGTCCCCTGCTTTCTTCTCCCTGGCAGCTGCTGAGCGATGGACTAACAGTCCCTAAAACCAGACTGTCCCCCAAATTGACAAAATGAAAAGATCTTCAAATCTTTTTTTTTTTGGACGGAAGGAGAATTTCCCTCCTTTCCCTCCTCTTCCCTTCCCCTCTTATCCCAGGCTGTTAGGGGACTGGGGTCACGGGCTTACCCTCACTGAAAGCAGAAATCTGTTAAGACAGGGTAGGTGGCCGTGCTGGTGGTGAGGGGGCACCAATTCAGGGAGAAGAGGCCAAGAGATCAAGAAGAGAGGAAACTCGGCATGCGGACAGAAAAGAGAGGAAGGGGCCGGTGCTCAGGCCGGGAGGCTGGGGGATGCCCCGTCCAGTGAGCTGCTGAACTGTGGCCTGAGGAAGGGCTGTGTGTGTGGGCAGACGGGAGTTGAGGTGGGGGAGGGAACACAACGTGTGGGGCACTAGGCCCAGTTGCCATGGAGACACCCCCCATAGACAACCTTTTCCACAGCCCCTTCTCGGAGCAGCCCCAGTCTGAGGCCAGCTGGTGGGGGGCAATGGAGACCGGGAAGCAACCAGGAGACCAAGGTCACCCTGTCCTGGTACCTAGGTTCTGGTTTTTGTTTTGTTTTTTTTAATCCCCCCTTCGTCTAAGGTTTCCAGACTCTTAACTCTAGTGGGTTTGGGGGAAGAAGTTGAAGCAGCAGTGGTGGAAGCAAGTAAGGAGTACATCCCCCGGAGGACAGTTGGGGTCGGGGGAGACAGGCAGGGCTGGGGGCATGGTGGTCGGTGGAGAATGTGGAAGAGAGAAATGAAGGAGCCACGGGGCAGCGGGTGCAGGCTGGAAAAGTATTCCCAATTGAAAAGAGAGTTGCAGTCTTGTGGGTCACATTTTTCGGAGGGACACAGTCTACTGGGGGGCTCTTTCTGCATGTGGAAGAAGATGAGGGGCTCCAGTGTGTGTTCCTGTACAGGTGAAATCCTAGAGGGGAGTACTGGGGGGCGTTCCCAAGAAGGGAAGCCTGTGGGGGCCTGCGGAGGGGATTTTCCTGGGCAGAGGAGAACTAGGAGTTCTACTGGTGGAGCAGGAGGAAGTGAGTCAAGGGAATTCTATATGATGGGAGAGAAGTTGGGGAGAATGCTTCCTGGTAGGTTGAAGAGAGAGTGGGGTTCAATGTGAGTTGAGGGGGATCTCGAGTTGGGGGAAACTGTCGGAAGACCCTCTGTGGTGGTGAAGGGCTACCAGGAGGGGATCTGGAGGCAGTGGGAGCTGCTGTGAGTGCAGAGGGGCGGGTGGGTGGATGCTGGGCAGAGTGGGGGTACACTGTGCTCCCTGCTATGGGAACACAGGGCAGAGATTGCGGTGCTCCTGAACGGAGAGACATTTGGGGTCTAGAGGAAGCCATTCTTGTGAGTAGAAAATGCCGTGAAACTCATGGAGGAAATTTTTCTTAATGGAGGAGAAAACGACGGTTATGACATGAGTTCGTTTAAGTTGTAGGGGGGAGGGTGGCGGGGGGGAAGATTTGGAAGACTCTTCTAAAGCAAAAGAGAGAGTGGGGGTTTTCCTGGAGTAAACGCATAGTATGGGGTGGGGGGTGAGTGGCTTGTGGGGAAACAGTGGAGGCTGTGAGAGGGAATGGGTTGGAGATGGGGGGCCCTCTTGCAAACCAGTGGGTCTAATGTTGGGTGCATTAGCATTCCCCAGGGAGCTTTTATAAACTTAGATGCCCAGGCCACACTGCAGACCAATCATGTCGGACTTTCTCAGGTGGGACTCAAACATCCGAATTTCTAAGGTCCTCGGGTGATTTCGAGGTGTGCTGGAGGCTGCTGGAGTCAGGAAGGGGGCTTCCAGTGAGAGGAGACTGACTGAGGGTGGCTGCTTATTCTGAGTTGCACAAACTGTGAGGGTCAGCTGGGATTTTCTTTGTCTTTTTCTTCTTCTCCTTTAAATTTTTCCTTTTTAGTTGAAGACAGATTGAGAGATGTATTTTTCCTAAGGAGAGGAAATTGTGGGGGACCATTTGGAGTGATGGCATGACAAAAGCCAGACCGGAGGGGGCTTGCGGAGGTTATTCCCACGGAAGTGGTGCTACTCGGGCTTCTTAAGTTGTGGAGACGCTCAGGGAAAAGTTGGGGAGACAGGGAAGGGTTCTAGCAGATGGAGAGGTGGGGCTGCAGGGGAAGAGTGGGGAGAACTGGTGGGAACCGAATGGTGATGGGGCGGGGGTCTCTAAGGAAGGAGGAACGCGACAGGGGCTCCTGGGGAGGAGGAGAGGTGGGGCTTGGCATCATGGGGGGCTGGTGGCTTCCCATGCGATGAGGACCGTGGAGCCCACTGGGGCGGAGCCAACGGGGGCTGGGGGCGAGGGCTGCGAGTGTGAGCGGTGGTGGGGATTCCTCTGAGTGGGGTTAGTGGGATGGTGGGATGACTTTCTTGGGCAGAAGACAAGAGTGGAGAGAGTTTTTTTGGTTTTTTTTTTTTTTTTTTTTTGAGAAAGGGGAGCAGTGGAGACCCAAGTGGAAGGAGTTTCTGGAGCTGAGGCAGGGATTTTAGGGGGGGCGGGGACTGGGGGAGGTACCTGTGCCTTCTCCTCTAATCCGAGATCTCGCTCCTTGCCCTCCACCAGCCGCCGACCATGGCCGCGCTCTGACCCCCTCCCCGGCCGCAGCCTCCTCCTCGCCGCCCCCTCCCCAGCCCCGCCGGCCCCGGGCCCCCCGCTTCTGCCTGCGCTGTGACCCCCCCAGCCGCCGGCACGGCCCCGCCCCCGCTGCCCCGGTGGTGGCCCACGGCCCCCCGGCTGCCCGTGGTCAAACTGGAGTCACTGAAGCGCTGGAACGAAGAGCGGGGCCTCTGGTGCGAGAAGGGGGTGCAGGTGCTGCTGACGACGGTGGGCGCCTTCGCCGCCTTCGGCCTCATGACCATCGCCATCAGCACCGACTACTGGCTCTACACGCGCGCCCTCATCTGCAACACCACCAACCTCACGGCCGGCGACGACGGGACCCCCCACCGCGGGGGCGGCGGTGCCTCGGAGAAGAAGGACCCCGGCGGCCTCACGCACTCGGGCCTCTGGAGGATCTGCTGCCTGGAAGGTAGGGTGCGGGCGGCCCTCCCCGCAGCCCCCGCCGCTCCCCTCCGAGAGACCCTGAGCCTCCTGGGGTTGCCTCTCCCTGATCCTGGGGCCCCCATGGGCACCCCTCGTCCTCTGCCAGAGGCGCTTCTGTGGCTTCCCACTCGCGCCCCTGACCCCCTCTCCCTTCCTTCCTACTCCTCCCTGCGTCCTGGCACCCTGCGGAATTCCTCTGCCTGGTCCCTCTGCAGCCCCTTTGCCTTTACACTGAACCCCCTTATCCTATCTTCCCCTGGGCCGTGTCTCCTGCCCTGCCCCATCACACCCCTCCCTCTTCCCTCGAGCACCTGGGCTCCTCCTGTTTCATTTCTTCCACACTCTGCCCTGTGCCTTTTCTCCTTCCCTTTTTTTTTTTTTTTTTTTTTTTTTTTTTTGACAAGGTCTCACTCTGTCGCCCAGGCTGGAGTACAGTGTACAATCACAGCTCACTGCAGCCTCCACCGCCTGGGCTCAAGCCATCCTCCCACCTCTGCCTCCTGAGTAGCTGGTACCACAGGCATGAGCTACTGTGCCCAGCTAATTTTTTTCATTATTTGTAGAGATAGGGTCCCCCTTGTTGTTCAGGCTGGTCTCAAGCTCCTGAGCTCGAGAGATCCTCCTGCCTTAGCTTCCAAAGTGCTGGGATGACAGGCGTGAGCCTCTGCACCCAGCAGCCTCTTTCTCCCTCTTTCCCCTCAGTTCATCTTGACCCTGCTCCTCCTCTCCACCTGCCCCTTCATTTCCTCTCCCTCGGGCCGCGTGGCATCTTCTCTCTCCCGACATTCCCCCCAGGTCATCTGAATTCCCCTGCCTCTCCCGCCCCCACTCATGGCCCAGGTTTCCAGTCTCCATCTCTTTCCCCTTCTCTTTGGCTGCTGCTCCCCTGAAACTTCTGCCTTAACTCACCCTCACTCATGACCTTCTCTCTTTTCTGCCTTGTGCTTCTCCTCCTATACATCTTTCCCCATCAGTGCCCCCTCCCACGTCTCTCCCACCAGGATGCCCTCCAACCTCCCATCCTGGTCCTTTCCTCCTTTTTCCTTTAGTGGGCTCCACTTCCTCTTCCTCCACTCATGCCTTCTTTGACGTCTTCCTGACCCGACGCCTCATGCCTTCACATTAAGGCTGCTCGCTCCTGCCCCTGCTACCTCCTCAGATCTTTGTCTTGGTTCTTTTCCTCTGTCCCGTTCTCCCTCTCACAGCTTCTCTCCTAGCTCGACTCCCTGGCTCTCGACTCCCCTACTTCTCCAAGACTCCTGCCCTCTGCTGCGCCGACCCCTTCTCTCTCCCACTTTTAGCATCAGTATTTCTTTCCTGAGTATCACCGAGCTGTGGGGCTGGGAAGCAGGAGTCCTGGGTGCCAGTCCTGCTGAGTATCTGCCCCGCTGTGTGACCACTATCTTCCCCCCTGCACCGCAGCCTCACAGCCCTTGTCTGCAACGTGAAGGAGCGGAACCAGCCATTCTGATGCCCCCTTCCGCCAAAAGATTGAAATCTCTTGCTTCTCTTTTTCATCCTCCTCTATTTCTTCTGCCCCTTCTTCCTCTGTTTTGCTGAGTGCTCACGACAAGCCAGGAACATTATCTTGTTTAATCCTATGAGGTGGGCACCACCTCCCTGTTGGGGATGGGTAAACTGAGGCTCAGAGAAGTGAAGTCACTTGCCCAAGGTCACCCAGCTAAGAAAGGGGCAGAGCCAAGCGCAGAACTCGAATCCCATGGATAGGATGCGCAGATGCGCTCTGTCTAGTGTACGAAGTGTTTAAAACTGAAAGCAAAATCTGAATCCATTGCCAACAGTTAAAAATAGGGAGGCTTCCCATTGTAGTTCTGATTTCCGGCTTCTTCTGAGCTAGCGGAAGATCTAACACAAGCCTGTGTTCTACCCTGACCATGATGGGCCGGATCTGAGCAGCAGCTGGCAGGGGGTCTCCATTTCCCCACAGTCACCTCCATCCGTCCTGTATCGCCTCCCATTCCTCCCACGGCTTTCGTGATGTTCTTTTCCTCTCTTGTGGAAGTTTGAGTTCATGTCCATTCACCGGTCTGACCAAGTACCAGGCATAGAGCCAAGTGTGAGGGCTCACATCATGAAACCCCTAGGACAGCATGTGGCATCTAGTAGGGACGTCATTCATTCATTCATTCATTCAACGTCCCATTTTTATTGAGTTTATATTATGTGCCAGGCATTGTTCTGGATTCTGAGGCTGCAGCAGTGGAAAACAGACAAAATCTCCTCTCGTTATATATCTCATATTCTAAGGTAGAGACAGATAATGATGGAGGTAAATAAAGTCAGCATTTAGGGTGTTAGATAGAACTGAGTGCTAAGGAGGACAAGGAGTTGGGGGGCGGGTGGGAGGTGTCAGGAATCCCCGTGGGAAGTAGATAAGGAATCTAGGAAAAGCTTCCCCCAGCAGGTGACATTTGAGTGCAGGTCTGAAGGAAGTAAGAGATGGAGGAAAGTGCTTCAGCCTGTAGGAACAGCAGGTGCAGAGGCCCTGAGGTGAGAGTGTGGCTGTGTGTTGATCAAGCCAGTAGGAGGTCAGCATGGCTGGGGCAGAGTGAGTGGCAGGGAATGTAGTAGAAGGAGGTGCAGTTGTAGGGTTATCAGGGTCCCCATCCCACAGGTTCTGGTTTTTTAAAAAAATTATTTTATTTATTTACTTATTTATTTTTTATTTATTTATTTTTTTGAGATGGAGTCTCCCTCTGTCGCCCAGGCTGGAGTGCAGTGGCACAATCTCACTGCAAGCTCCGCCTCCCGGTTTCACGCCATTCTCCTGCCTCAGCCTCCGGAGTAGCTGGGACTACGGGTGCCTACCACCACACCCAGCTGACTTTTTTGTATTTTTTAGTAGATACAGGGGTTTTCACCATGTTAGCCAGGATGGTCTGGATCTCCTGACCTGATCTGCCCACTTTGGCCTCCCAAAGTGCTGGAATTACAGGCGTGAGCCACCGCACCCGGCCTTATTTATTTATTGAAACAGAGTCTTGCTTTGTCACCCAAGCTGTACTGCAGTGGTGTGATCTCGGCTTACTGCAACTTTGGCCTCCTAGGTTCAAGCGATTCTCATACCTCAGACTCCCGAGTAGCTGGAATCGCAGGTGTGCGCCACCACGCCTGGCTAATTTTTGTATTTTTAGTAGAGACGGGGTTTTACCATGTTGGCCACGTTGGTCTCGAACTTCTGACCTCAAGTGATTGGCCTGCCTAGGCCTCCCAAAGTGCTGGGATTAGAGATGTGAGCCACCATGTCTATGTCTGGCCAGGTTCTGTTGTGTGTTTTTTTTTTTAAGCAGGGTTTTGCTCTGTCACCCAGGCTGGCATGCAGTGGTAAGACCATAGCTCACTGAAACCTTGAACTCCTGAACCCAAGCCGTCCTCTTGCCTCAGCCTCCCAAATAGCTAGAACTCAGGCACATGCCACCATTTTTTGTAGACACAGGGTCTCACTATATTGCCAAGGCTGGTCTCAAACTCCTGAGCTCAAGCAGTCCTCCTGCCTCAGCCTCCCGATGTGTTGGGATTACAGGTGTGAGCCACTGCACCCGGCCTCATAGCTTCTTATACATCCCAGAAAGCACTTTGCTTTAGATTCGGAGACGGGAGCCGCTGAAGGTTCTTGAGCAGAGGAGTCACATGAGCTGACTTACATTTCTGCAGTATGGCTCTTGCTGCTGTGTTGACAAGTGACCAAAGGGAAGGCAAAAGAGACGACGAGAAGCTCATCTAGGGTGAGGGCCGTAGTGTTTGGGAAGTTGTTTGAATTCTTAGTATATTCTGGAGCTACCGTGGGCAGGAATTGCTGATGGAGCAGTTGTAGGATATGAGAGAGAAGAGCCAGGGGCGCCTCCAAAGCAGGGTTTTTCCACCGCAGCACGGTTGATATTTTGGGGTGGATAATTCTGTGTGGAGGGGGCCGTCCTGTGCATTGTAGGATGCTGAGCAACAGCCTTGATCTCTCCCACTAGATGCCAGCAGCGCCCTTCCCAGTCGTGACAACCAAAATTGTAAATTGTGTCTAAACATTGTCGACTGTCTCCTGGGGGATAAAAATCGCCCTGAGTTGAGAATCACCGCTCTAACGCTTTGGCCTGAGCTCCTGAGAATAGGGGAGCCATTCCTAAGATGAAACAGCAGCTATTTTATTTATTTTCTCTTATCAAATTTATTATGAAGGAGAGGGAGCAGGGGCTCAGTTCTGGGCATGTTAAACTTACAGTGCCCATTCACAGACAACATCTGGACAGAGGCCAGCACAGTGAAGGTCCTATAAAGTGCCATATAGGAAAGATTGCAGGCTTTGTGGAACAGTCTCTATCACAACAACTTGTGAAAACGACCGAGACAGTCTGTAAGTGAGTGTGGCTGTGTTCCAATGAGACTTCATTTATGGACACTAAAATTTGAATTTCGCCGGGGGCAGTGGCTCACGCCTGTAATCCCAGCACTTTGGGAGGCCACAGCAGGCGGATCACCTGAGGTCAGGAGTTCGAAACCAGCCTGGCCAACATGGTGAAAACCTGTCTCTACTAAAAATACAAAAATTAGCCAGGCGTGGTGGCAGGTGCCTGTAATCCCAGCTACTCAGGAGGCTGAGGCAGGAGAATCGCTTGAACCTGGGAGGCGGAGGTTGCAGTGAGCCGAGATCACGTCACCATACTCCAGCCTGGGCAACAGAGAGAGATTCTAAGAAAAAAAAAAGGTTTTTTTTGGAATTCCATGTCATTTTCACATGCCACAAAAATCGTCTTCTTCTTTGATATTTTCTCAATCATTAAAAACACATAAAACCCGTCTTAGCTGGATTTGGCCTGTGAGCCGTAGTTTGCTGATCACTGATTTAAATTGTTAAAGATACGGTATATGAGGCCAGAGACTGGGCTGGAGATATCAGTTTGAGGGGCATCATCATATAGATGAATTAGATGGACGGAGTCAGTTAGAGAAGAGACAGCTGGGCACAGTGGCGCA